CAAAGAAAAATTTTGATATATAAATGTTATTTCTGATCAATTCATGCCCATGATGAATAATATCGATATTATAAAAATTTCGATTATATCGGTACATATCCAGTACAACCAAGACTTTAGTATTTTATAAGAATATTTTATAAGAATAAAAAAAGCATGTACAATATATATGATATATCGGTATAAAATCAAACTTGATATCTCGTGAATGACTGAAGGATCAAAGCTGAAACCTTGTCAATGCTGATTTTTTGAATAAGGTTTTCTAGCATGCACGCTATCAACGTTAAAATCATTCATTAGTCGGACATGAATGAAAGCCAATTGTTGCATATATGTTTCAGACTCACAAAGGTACTCGTCGGGCTTAGCCTATCCGTGCAACAGGTGTGGCAAGATATACAAATGGAGAGAATCTTTGAGTCTGCATAAACGAATGGAGTGCGGTATCGAGCCACGCTTTGCCTGCAATATCTGCGGCAGAAAGTTTAAACATAAGCACCACCTCATGAAACACCACAACTCAATTCACAAATATAATCAGTAATAATAAATTAAAGCTAATTGATTTTTTTTGTTATATTTTTTAGAAAAAACCAGATAACGTGCATGTAGTTAGTCTTTTTTTATATAAGAATATGTAGATGTTTGTTAACGAAATTTAATTCGGGAACGATCGTCTTCTATCTTAAAACGTTGTACTTAAAATTTTCTTAAGATTCTATCTTAAAATCGCTACTAATTTGATTTTAGTTTCAATTATGGTCAATTCAGCTATAAAATTCGAAGTTTTGATTAAATTTTAATTTCGATTGAAATTAAAAGAAAGTTCCGGCGAAGCGCGCGTGCGCGCAGCCGAAACTGATAGTTATAAATCTTTTGCTTAGGCATAAATGCTAAAAAATGAGATGGCTTCTTTTACCTACAAATTCATTGTCTACAGCATCGTTTACCTACGTCACTTTTGCCAACAATTCGTTTGCGCACAAAAATTATTGCCTACAGCTCGATTGCATTTTTACGTACAAGTAAAGATTTCAGAAACGAAGTCACATTTGCCTACATGTATTGTTACCTACATGTATTATCGCCTACAGCTCGATTGCCTATAACAAGCACTTTTGTACACAAATAAAAATTTCAGAAACGAAATCACATTTGCCTATATGTATACATGTATTATTGTCTACAATTTTTAAAACAGAGAATTTGTTTCTTAAAACAAAAAATTCGTGTTTTTAAAGCAAAAAATTTGTTTTAAAACAGAATTTGTGTTTTTAAAGCAGAGAAAAGTACATGTAGGTAATAATACGCATATAGACAATTAATCGAACTATAGGCAATAATGTATATAGGCAATCAAACTGTGGACAATAATATATGTAGGCACTCGAGCAATAGGCAACAATACATGCAGACAAATGTAACTTTGTTTTTAAAATTTATACTTGTGCATAAAAGTGCATGTAGGCAATAACTTTAATGCGTAAATGAATTGTTGGCAAAATGATGTGAACAAACGATTTGTAGGCAAACGGGATTCTCCCAAAAGAACTATCTTATATTTTGAAATTTTATTATCGTTGAGATAATATCTGTTTCTTTACTTTAAAATGTTGGTAAAAAATGTATTCTTCGAAATATGATCGAATGTCATTTTTATCATTTTCATTTCATAACCCTTAAAAATATCACCTTTTCTTAATTATGACGATTATGTATTTTACAAAATTATAACAAATCCATCAATGATTCATCAAAAGTGATATAACTTGAAATATTACAACAGTTTATATTTATCTTGATTAGCTAAATATGACATAAAACAATTTTTTTCTTCAAATTTCGATATGTATGTGCGTGCAACATATGGTCTTTGTAGGATTCTCATAAAAATTTCGGTTTCGACTGAAATTAAAAAAAATTGTTTCGGTCGAACTCTATTAATTGAAATGACTAGGACCCACTCTTTTCCATTTTTTTCATAATTTTTTATAAATTTATTTGGAATTGGTAAAAATTTTATGGTGATCGTTCCTGGATACATAATAATAAAAGTTTTTTAATAAAGAAATGAAATCAAGTCCGTATTCATTTATTTATCCCTTTTTATTACAATAATGAATTAAAACACCAAAATCAAGAAAGGAAGAGAAAGGGGGAAGAGTTTCTTAACTCCTTTATTTTATAATATTTTTATAAATCCATTTTAAACAAAATAATTCTGCAAGTTTTAGTTTATTGATAGTAACAGTTTTTAAGTAAAGTTTTTAAGTAATGTCTTTAACTCTTTGAGTACAGAACGACATGATGCTGTGCACTACGGAGTTGTTCCTCAACCAAGCTTAAAATTTCGCATGGCTTACCAATATGTAGCTGGGTGCAGGAGTTTTATTAAGATATTTGCGTTTTCCTCAAATTCTTGATATTTTTTCTTTATAAACATTAATTATTTTTCAGATAAATTAGGAAATTGAAATGAGAAAGTACTCTAAGTGCGTATATGTTATATACTCACAATACTCAAAGGGTTAATCGTACGTAACAATATGATTATCCCAATCAAATTTGTATATGTAAGACGAAACATACGACATTGAAAATTCGTTATTATTAAACAATATCGTTTATATCAAATCTTCAATAAATTTTTCTATCTTGAAAATTATAAATTAACTAAAGAAAAATCAAGAAATATAAGGATTTTATCATTTCTGTGAATTTTAAAATCTTTTCCAAAATTTATGACAGAAATTCTACAAAGTAAAAAGATTAATTATAAAAAGAAATTTTTAAATATATATAAAGTATTGTAATGATATATTTTTTTTTATTGTTACTTTTTGTTCTGTCGTAATATTTTAAAATGCGTTTTTTGTGATATATTAGTAGAATGTAATGTAAAGTATACAAACCATAGAGAATAGAAATATTTATTATATTAAAATTATTTTTCAATAATGGATTATTATGGAATTACTCTGTGACAACATGATAACATACGTTTTCTATTATAATAATAATGATGAAAATAAAAATATTTTTACGTAAGTTTTATGTGTTATATTTGTTTTGTATATAAAAAATATGTTTTTTATTATAAGATTTTCATATTAACTGCAAAACTTGTTAGCAATGGGATTATAAGATATACTAACTTTTCTATTAATTGCGATAAAATTTGCGTGGATTCTAGATTAATCAAATAATTAAATGATGTTAGAAAGACTTTTAGATCGCAAATTCTAACTGTCGAATTTATGTATTATTTTTTCGTCGCGGAATGTATGAGAGAAATCGACGCGAAGATTAATCATAGAACACTTTAGAATGCACACACGCACCATTTATAATCTGTCTTTCAGGTGATCGAGCCATGACCGTAGTGTTCCCATGCAGGCTTTGCGGCAAGATCTACGCCCACAAATCTTCAATGTATACCCATCTACGATTATGTGGCAAAGAGCCCAAATTCAGCTGCGTTCTTTGCGGCAGGAGGTTCAAGTACAAACACAGACTGCAGTCACATCTTACGTCGAATGTACACGCTTTACGACCATGATAATTTAATTGCAACAGCAATTATTGATTCAAGAGTGACCTTTATATATCGACATTGTAAACGTTATTTGTATTGCATTGTGAATGCGTACAATGAGGAACAAAAATGAGCTTGTACTTCGGTGTAATACATCATATTGCAGGCGGCGCGCTCATCTACAACAAAGTACAAGCTCATTTTTGCTCCTCATTGTATTACGATATGTGCATAGTCTGCACACATGAAGCAAAACTGTTAATATATTAATAAAAATTCAGTTTTATTTCGCTAGCAAAAGTTATCTTCTACTAAATCCCATGACGCTCATACCGCGAATTCTTAAAACATATTACCAATGCATCGTATTATTATGAAATAAATGAAACCTAATAACTGACCCTTTCTATTTTCTCAATAATTCAATGAGAATAGGCATTGTTTCGGACAGTATATATATATAACTGTATGTATTTCCATTTACACGGAAAGTTAGAAACGTGCAAAATTAGTTTGCACGTGAAAAAAATCTTAACAAGATATTCTTTTCCTTGCAGCATTTTGATACAAGATTTGAAATCACGGATTGATAGCCGGATTAAATTACAGCAACAAGCGTTTTAAGTGAACAGTCAATTGAAAGAATGAACATCCATGAACATACTTTCTTGTTTTAATACGCTTTCATTCATACAAGACTCGAATTATAATAAACGTAGTTATGATTACTTAATGAACATGGACGTGCTAATATCGTTCAAAATAAACGCAACGTTTGACGAGGGGGAGGGAAGGGTGATTTAATAGCACAAAAAGACAGAGTTTGATTCTTGGTACTATATACTACGACAATTTTTCTTCTTTTTCAGCCTATTTGCGGAAGGCGTGGGTCTGCTTCCAGTGTGGTAAGCGTTACCTGTGGCGCGGCTCCCTAAAGAATCATATACGGGTGGAATGTGGCAAAGAGCCGGCCTTCAAGTGTCCCGTCTGCGGCAGGAAGTTCAAGCATAAACATCGCTGGCAGTCGCACGCGAAATGCATGCATAGCATTAAATTGTAACGCGAGAGACATTTTGCAAGAACTATATCGTTTTTTAATCTCATTCGCGTGTATATATTTTAATTTAATTTGAAGACAAGTTTTGGCGTAAAAATACTGTGCAAAAATCCCAAAGATATTGGCAAACTTTGTAAAATTCATATGATTAATGTTTAAAAAGAGGCTTTAAATGAATCTATTTTTTAATAATGAGATAGGTGAATGTTGCAATGCCTATACTAAATAAATTTTGCAGTTAATAGATCTAGCATTTAGGCTTATGTATATATAGATCAGTATTTGAATTTATAAAATCGTTCTATAAAGTATTTTTTTATTTCAAACTTGTATGTGATTTGTTACCTCCTAATACACACAATTCCTAAAGTTTCAAATAAAAAATATTTCATTAAATAAAAAATATTTTATTCAATCTTTTTTATGGAATCCTAAACTTCAATACGCAATAAATGAATGAAATTAATCGAGTGATCAGATTGATTCCGTTTATAGACGAACTCTAAATTTAAATTAAAGCCAATACAAGCCTAAGACATGGTTGTACGTATAAATAAGGAGATAATCTTCCTCATTTTTATATACATCCAATGAATTTTCTCTAATTCAACTTTCTGTGCATGCAACAGGCTCTTCGACATTGATTTCGACTTTGATTGAGATCCATTTTCAGTTGATGATCCTCAGTGAACGAATTCATTAAAATTAATTCCGGTATAACTTAATCCACTTATTATACATATAATAAGCATATAGCCTGTACACAATTTTTCTTTATCTAAATTCAAGTCTGCGTTTTTTCTCTTTTATCAGAGAACATTGTGTATGTAATCAACAATTTCGCAAAATGAATATAACCTGTCGATTTACAATTTTGCCACTTATATCAATTTTATGTGCAGGACCAAAGGTGTGCAGCGTATGGAGTATATCTTCCGACCAGTTCCAAGATACGGACTTTTCAAAAATGGGAAGCTCTACTGACTCCATGATTTTCTCGACAAACGCGGGCAACTCAAACACTCAACGACTGATGTATTCGTGCGACTCATGTGGCAACGAATATAGATGGATAAGCAGTTTACGTCGTCATCAATTGCAGTGCGGTAACAAGGAGGCAAAAATCAGTTGTCATTTCTGCACAAGGAAGTTCTACAGAGGGGATCGACTTAAGCAACATTTATTTACGTATCACGCTAACTTATTGAATTCCAAAAGATAGCGATACTCTGCCTATGACAATGACAATTAGGAAAAGATAAAAGTGTAGCTTAACTTCGGAAAACTTAATGTATTTGTAAATTTAATACATTGATCCACATCTTTTTAAAGTTGTATGTTTTCAACGGATGATATGCATATTTGCACCTTGAACTGATAATAATATAAACCTGGCGTGAGACATAATTAATTATTATTTGAATATATACACCACCATAGCAAAGGGTCACATTCATGTAAAATAGTCATAATTATAGTCAGGAAGAAAATATGATGTCACTGTGAAATTGTCATAACAAAATAACACATGTTACAAGGATATTCACACAACACCATGACATTGCTGTGACATCATATTTGTGATAAACGGACATTCATACGTCACCATGATGTAACTATGATTGTTGTAATGTAACTGTGACGTTTTTTTGCTATGGTGATATATATATATATATATACATTTTATATATGTGTATATATATATATATATATATATGAAACATTTTTTCC